AATATATACTATGTCTAGTTTTTATTTTCCTGAGACCCAGAAGAACCTATTTCAGATACTTGGAATGTAACTGTGGTGAAGTCGATTAAGTGCAAAAGCGGCCTGCCATAAACGGGAGCTTCCTCGTCCTGCTGAAATGATCTGCAGCGCTCAGACCCCGACTGTTAAATTAACAAGATGGACTTAAGAGCGAGCAACCGTCCACATCTTATTTTCATCTCCAGCTAACAAGAAAGAACTGTTTTTAGACTCAGATCTGGGTTAAAAAAAACTACTGTTGTTTCGCTATGCGTGTACGCGTGTACAGATTTTTGCTTCATGGTGGGTACAATTATTGACCATTTCCCCAGTATACACAGCCAGGTGAGGTTAGGTTTTGGGTCAGGTGTGTATCGTACCTGGGAGTTTATGTTTGGCTATAGAATCGATGGGGAAATGAATGGACGCCAATGCAAAGTCCCCATGAGGATAGAACAACAAATGTGTGTGTGCGGGAGGTGTGGAGCAGAGCCGCGAGCAGAGTGCAGTGTTATTAGGAGAGATGAGACTGTCGGTGGGCGACCATTAATACTGCTGGATAATTTTTAATGGAACATGGAAACTTTTTTTTTCAGTGGGCGACCGCTCCCCCTCGAACGATGCGACCGGACATTTTTTTTTCAGTCGCACTGTTAGGAAATCAGGTCGCATTTGCGACCAAATTGGTCGCACTCTAGAGCCCTGATTAACTAACGTGCTAAGTGTCATATTTAATCACCAAATTATAGTAATAGCATTCTCTCTCGTCTTTTTTTTTTTTTATCACAATCTTTATTCTGAATAGTAAACCTCCTCCAATTAACATTAGATAATCTATGTTTGGAGCACATCCATAGTTCAACTGTTAGGTATCTCATCAGTTAAGTCAGAGGTCTTGTTCGTGACCCACTGTCCTGTATGTTTTAGATGCTTTTCTGTTTCAACACACCTGGTTCAAGTAATTAAATTATCTACTCAGACTCATGAAGATTAGCAGAAGCCTGTCAATAACTCAATCATCTCAGTCAGGTGTGCCAAAGCAGGGAAAAAGTAACAGTAGTAAAGTGGTTTAATGACATGAGGCAGTGTATGGTCTGTGATAAACTGTGAAACAGAACACTGCCTTTAGCTTGTTGATCACATCTATTAATGTTAAAAATATATCTGATTAAGTGTCCTGATGCATCTCAGTAATCCAGGTAAAAAATCAAAAGGAAAAAAATTGTATAGGTCCTCTGGACGGGTTCTTCTTTAATGAAACGTTTCGTCTCTCTTCCAAGAGACTTCTTCAGTCTGAGAGTTTCAGGCTAAATTCAGGCTTTTGAATCTCTCAGCAGCAGAACCACACTTTCCACAGAACAAGTGTGCCAGCTCCTCAAACTGTGCCTGGAATCAACCTACTTCACTTACGG